CCCTTCTGGACTAATGGTTGCCTGCAAAAATGGGGATTGGACTAAAAGCCCAAGGCTTTTGGGTTCTGTCTCAGTGGTTTAAAGGGGGGTGTAGGCCTTGGACAGCCCCCGCTGCTCCACACACTTGCCTAGACGTACGCGTTGAAGGTCTTGGTTGCAGGGCTCCGTACAAGTGGATTCATCAGACATCTTACATACATGCCATGATCCAGAGGATCGATGGGCACCTCATTCACACTTCAGGTCTCCAGTGTGCTAGGGGCTGTACAGCCAACAGAGAGACAGCGTCTGCCTCGGACAGCTTACTCAGAATCCGGCTGTCTGCTCACAAGCATTTTTTGAGGCCACTTTGAGTACATCGGCCTAGCTAAAATGATACAACCCCTTTAGTGTGCACATCATATAAACTGGCATACCTTGTATCCAGGAAGAGGAATAGGCTACCCCACGTAAGGCATCTTTCGATGGGTAGCACTGTGTCCACACTAGCTCTATGTTGATAAAACCTCATGTTTCTAACTCATAATTAATCCACTACCAACAGGTGCAACCTCCCCCAGCATGGAGACTCCATTTAAGGTGACCAACACAAGCTAAACTGATAAAAGCCAGGTCTACGCTGAGTTGAGACTCCCTGGGTGCAGCCATATAAAGAGCTCAACCCAAAGAGGTAGTGGGCAGGGGCTTATTGCACATGTGCACACTCTTATCTCTCAGTAAATGGAAGCTACACACGGTATAACTTATTCCTTTTTCAGTAAGAGTTGAGCTACCACGCTTGAGCCTCTATTACAGTGGAGCAAGGGTGTACGCAGACAGTTACCATGCAGCAGCAGGTGAGTCGTGGTGAAGTGTTGCCCCTTTTAACTCCAGGATGATTTGTTGGTCTGTCCACACCCCCCTACAAAGGTCTGTCCTGGTTTACCTCCAGGAGCAGGGGATAAGAGCAAACTCTCCTGAGAAGAGCCTGGTGTAACTGCAGTGAAGACATCCCCTGCATATGCAGGGAAGGATTTAGGAGCCAGCAGGAGTTAGGAACCCAAATCCCTTAGACATGTTGATACCAAACTACCTTTGGCCACTCCGAAAATCCTGACTCCTGATATCGATGGGACCTGAAAGCATCTAGTGTCTCTCAGGAAGTCCACTGCTTAGGGATAAGCTAGCAATAAAACAACTAGGAGGAAATGAGCCTCCAAGAAAAGAAGAACCTACTTTTCAGGCAGGTGCTTTTAGGTTAGAAAGCAGGGTAGGTTGTAGCCATGTTGGTAAGGACAGAGGCAGACCCAAAAGCTTGCAAAGAAGAACTTGTCCAACTATTGGAGTTGGTTTAATAAAAGATAGCGGATTTACCCAAAGAACTTTGGCTGCCTTTGGGTTAGAAAAGCAGAGGAAAGGGGCCTGCATCCAAGCAGCATGGTCCTGAGTGACCGCGAGGCCTCAGTGGGGCTTTACAGACAAAACCACGTGAACAGCTTTGTAGCCCGGGGAAGAGCCGACTATTTTCTTCCAGGGCCTCGTGGGACGGGTGAGCTCAGGACCCAGGTTTCAGAAGTGCGGAGAACCCAGAACTCCCAACAGTGTCACAGGGGCTCAGCCCCTCAAAACCAGGCCCTTACGGTCTCCAGTAG